GGATCACAGGCCTACACTTCGTGGGGATTCGAGCATCATATGCCTCCTTTATGGATAGCAATATATTTGGAGCATCTACAGATGAATCTTATATTCATTTTTTGTTATCAACCCTTCGAAAGCTGTACCTTCTTTTCGTACTACGCAACTTGCATCTACTTCTACCTACACCTACCTAGTCCCCCGGATTCTTCCACTTTCGATCTTCCCCTTCCCCTTAGCAACGCTATCGACTATGATATAACATCAGCAACAAATTCGAAGGGAGACATTTTTGCAGGTGAATACGGGTTTGCGCTACTTACCTATGACAAGAATAGTAAGCCACTGATGCGACCTTGTGATATTTTGGTGGTAGTCTTTATAGATGTCTTTTGAGCTGTCATTTCTATAGATATATTCGGCCTTATTGGTGTTGTAGTTAGCTAGTAGCTAAAGTATGGGCGGTAAAAACGGCCTTAAATGTGCAAAATGCTTTTGATCTATATATTAATAGAAGAAATAAAACTTTCAAATAAAATAAAGAAATGAGAACAGCCTACTAAGTTATTTGCCTTTGCTGGCTTCACACCTCAGTATCATACACCCCAACATTGAATACCAAGGAATTACAAAGCTGCGTCATATCTCCCGATGTCTTCGGGGCCGCGTCGCGGGAGCTGGTCCAGGAACGGAACACCAAATCCACCACCTACTCATCACCACCACCTCCCTTCAACACCTAATTTCCACGCGTGGAGGGTACCCTCCTTACATAAAATATCCCCAGAGAGGGTTCTCCGATCTCTCCCCAATTTCATACCCTTTGATGTCCCGCCACAACTCTACCGGACAGCCAGCCCGCCACGATGGACATGACCGAACCGCGGCGCGGGGCTTTAGATGACCCCATCGACTCCAATGACTACGGCGACCACAGCCCCGCGTCTTTCCGCGAAGCTAAACAGGAACTCCCAGATGACTTACCTAAATCACTGGACGATCGCCGCTCCGTCCCGGTCTTCCAGCCGGAGACTGAGATGTACGATGCTTGGCAGGGTGAGTGTTCTTGTGTCTGCGGAACTATTCTCCCATTTCCCCGTTTCCCCGATACGGGAGATCAAAACGTTTTTCCTTGAACAGTTACACGTTGGAACATTTGTCCGCTGTGTTGGGGGTTCAAGCATTAATGTCTAATCGTTGAATAGGTCAATCACAATACCTGACCGCGCCAGTCGCCGCAAAACCCTTATCCTTCAGCCTAGCCCTCGACGATCATTCACATGATAACGAACACGAACTGCGAGCTCACTATGGGCGCGACATTGAAGATAGTGACGCCCGACTGATGGAGATGCTTGCTGCCCAAGCTGCCCACCGGGAGGTGGATTCACTTACTGCAGACGAAGAAACAATTGCCGCCGATGAGAAATTAACCGATGATGAAAAGCGCGATATACTCCAGAAGAGCCTGAATATGGCAGCTAGTAATGGCGATGTGGAGCGCGTGCGGAAACTAGTACAGGGCCAGGCGAGGACCTACGTCGACGTTAATAAGCCCGATGAGGAGGGGACTGTGCCGTTGATCTATGCTAGTTGCTTTGTGGGTTACTCTTATATACAGAATACTGATGTGCGGCTGACGGTTTATAACAGGGTCATCAAGAAGTCGTTGCTGCGCTCATTGTCGCCGGTGCCCTTGTCGACAGACAGGATCGTAACCAGTGGAGCGCTTTGATGTGGGCCATGACCAATAGACACAAAACGATAGCGAAGATTCTTCTTGATAACGGTGCATCACCGGATATCAAGTCGTCATCCGGTGGTAGGGCTTTCGATTTCGCCCAGCCCGGTAGTGAGATTTCTGAATATTTGCATGAAAATGGTTACAGCTTTGGCTCTGGTAATATCGATCATGACTTCTATGACGCTGGATTGGCGCATGGTCGTTTCGAAGAAGAGCTAGCGGAGAGTGAGATGAAGCGGCGAATGATGATGGAAGAGAGCGCAATCAATCTGGAGGTCGATTTGTCCAGTCTAGGGCTTGACGAGAAATTTGAGGTCAGTTCATGTCGTGAAAATAAAGTTTTGACCTTGACTGATTTGAGTTCTTTCATCTTGTAGCCGTCCGATGAGGATGAGCTCGAGGAGGATCAGCAGGAATTTGTCTGGGACAAGTGTCTGAATGATCAGATGTTTGTCTTCCAGGATCATGAGCTAGAGCGCATTTTGGATATCATCATCACCAACATGACTCCCCAGCGATCCCCGTCCCAAAAGCCAGTGCCTGCAAATCTTCTCTTCCTTAGCGCCCGCTACGCACACTATCATGCCAGCCCCGAGCTGCTCACAACTCTGTTATCATCCGCAATGGACAAAATTAATGACGTCGTAGAACGTTACCAGTGGGATATGACAATGCAAGCCTTTTGGCTGTCAAATGCCACGCTTTTGCTCCATTACCTGAAGAAGGATGGGGGCTTAGTGGAATCTACCGTCGAGTTTCAGCTTCATCTAGCTGAGCTGATCAATGAGATATTCGTTTTGGTCATTCGTGACGCCGAGCGCCGAATGAACAAAGTCCTGGATGCGGCAATGCTGGACCATGAGACCATCCCTGGACTGGAAGACATTGCCTTCCAAAACGAGTGGAAGCTGTTCCGCAAACATAAAAGCAAAAATCCTGAGCCTGACGAGAAGCGATTCCGACCTCCATCACCGCGGCGACGAGCACAAATCTCGCCTCGGAACATCACCTCTTTACTATCATCGACCCTCTTTGTACTTGATCTATATGATGTTCACTCGGTGATCACGACCCAGATTCTCTCTCAACTCCTCTACTGGCTCAGTGCCGAGATATTTAACCGAATCATGAGCACGAAACGTTACTTGGCGCGCACAAAGGCGATGCAGATCCGCATGAACGTTTCGTCGTTAGAGGATTGGGCACGTACAAACAACCGCGTGCCAGAACATTACGAAAATGGATCTACAAACAGCACCGGAGAGTCTACAATGGACTCCGCTCGTCGACATTTGGCCCCGGTCATTCAACTCCTCCAATGGTTGCAATGCTTCTCGTCGCTCGGTGATGACCACGAATCTCTCGTAACAACCCTGCTCCAACTCCAACAACTCACCCCGGCCCAGCTCTTGCATGCAGTCAAGTCATACCGCCCAGAGGTAGGCGAGAAAGGCCTGACCAAGCAAGCGATGAAGTTCCTTCTCGACATGCAAAATGACCCCGAAGTTCTCTACCGCGAGCAAGGGCAAATTCAAGAAGAGAAGGCAAAGGCAGCAGCTGGACCAGGGCCTCAGGCAGCAACAGATGCCCGTCCAAAGACACCACCGAAGGATCAGCTCTCCGCAGCACCTACATCTCCTAGCGCTGGACTATCCCCAGACTCCGCTGGTGCATCATCCCGGCGTTCAAGTATGGTCGCCGCCAGGAGTGACGAGCGCCCCGGTGGCGGCAACAGTGTCTTCGTCGACCCCACCCTATTCCTCCCCTTCTCCCTTCCAACCAGTACAGACATGCTGGTCAGCTATGGCGCCGGCTTTGGTGGCACAAACCGCGAGCGAGCTCGCAAGTACATTCCCACTGTCCCGCCAGAGGTCCTGAGTCGATTCGATCGCGGCGACATATAAAACAAAACAGGCATGACGACTGCTGTTTCTTCACTTCCCCTCCAGCATGGATTCTTGATGGTGCGACCTGCCACCATTGGGGAAATATCGTTGTTTGAGTGCCCACGAGTACGGGCGGGAAGTGGTGAGATAAAGATGGTGAATAAAGCGATAGGATACCCTTTGCCCCTTTGCGTCCTTTTCTTTTTGCGTGAGGGATATGCTGGATACGGCTTCTATGTGGCCATCTACCGATGCGCTGAGTATATATTTTAAATGAATCTCTTCCATGCATAGCATTTTGCCAGGTCACTGTACACTGATAGCCGGGGTTTCACGCGGTTTGGCCACGGGGGAGGGGACGGTGCTCCTTCCAGAAAGAGGAGTCCAATTACCTCATAACCTCACAATGGACTCTCAGTTGGAAAGAACACGAGAGGAAACGCCGACCACCCAGAAAATGATATTATCACGTAGCCCTTGCCCTTGCCCTACACTTAGGACTGGAACATCTCAATGGGGCAAGGGCAACCGCTTCACCATTATGAGCGTTGAAGGTGACCTTTAAGGTGACCTTTAAGCTGATTGCATGCTCTAACCGCACATTGAAGGACTCTTGCCGATTGTAAAGATACCAAATATTGATATTTTTACTTTGATACCGGGGATTAGCCAGTTTATATTGTTATCCTCGTTTGTTCTTGATGCCCGCTGAATCCTGCATGCCAGGATTTACTAGCAGCTGTTATAATTACTGTTGAATAAGGTTCAATGGATCGACGATCAACTTCGCTATCCCTTCTTTGTAACTCGAGATATGAACAATTATAGTAACCTTGGAAGAAGCGAAGTGGCCACTTGGAGGTCCTTCTCCTTATATGGGCTTCTGTGATCGTTTTCAGGTGTCCATGTAAATATATCCGCCCTGGTAAGAAAGCGCAAGCAAGTCAAAGGATATACATAGAAAGGTCGCTTGCACAAAGTATGCTTTTTTTCACCGCCTTCATATACATTTCAAATGACATTTGAAAAGACATCTCAAAAGACCAAGTGAGAAGACCTACTAAAAAGACATCACAAGGCCGCAAACGCGCCCGACTATTCTTTCTTGTAACAATGAACAGTTAGAAGCAAGAAAAGTCCAAAGTATACTAGAATATTCCATATCACCTCTTTCTAAAATAATCCAAATAGATATCGAGCCGTCGAACGAAACTCTTGGCGTGTTCAGTATGACATCCAAGTACGTCATCGCTAAATGACAATGCCAATCCCCGAAACTTGATTTCTTAGGGGAATTATGTATATAGGGAGTCAATTCCACTTCTGGCAATTCATGTTCAACCTCCATCAATAAACCCCCCACCAGAAACACATACCCAACCTCCAAAATGACGACCTTTACGCGCATGAAGATCCCATTCCAGACCCGATCCTCAATTGCAGCTCTCTCCTCATCACGTACTCAAACACTTCGCACCTCTTCTCTATACCGAAGCTACGCGACCAAATCCTCAAATGACCCCGAGCAAGCAACAACCACAACCCACCAGCCAGACTCACCCAATCGCCTAATCCCCTCCAATAAAGCAAAGCCCACCCTCAGTACGGAAGAGCAGTCGCCTCTTTCAGACCAAGAGGGGAATCCGAAAAAGGATTTTCCCGAAGACGTGAAGAAGCACAACCGGGAGATGGAGCAGCGGTACGACAAGCCGTATAACTCCACTGCTGATGATGGCACGGTTAAACCTGCTTTCAAGAGCTAGGTTGGTTGCTGATTTGGTCGCCGGTAATATGGTGCTGGCTCATCATTTTTCTTTGGGCTTTTGAGTCTAGGCGTCTGCTTCGGAGTTATGGATGAAAGGCTTTTCTCTGTACACCGAGATTTGATATTTGATTATGCCCTTGGTATTTTATGTCCTTTGGGCCTGTTCATCATTCTACAAGAATAGTCGGCCGCGTTTGCAGCCTCCATGTTGTAGCTGGAGTATAAGCGGTTGGCTTTAAATATGCTAAACGACTTTCCCATGTACATGTACCCAGATGGACAGTGAAATCCTCAAAAGTATTCGGAAACCTGAGTCGCTTCTAGTCGTAGGACATCTTTTCAGATATTACCCTACCTACCAAGGAATAATTGACATTAGGCTACATCTACGTCCATCAAATTCATAGGAAGATGATTGATTGTTGCTCAATCTACCTGTCCATGATGATGTACAAATCAAGGCAGTCCTCAGGCTTGTACCAAAGCCAATATCCACCAAAGATAAATCCTAAGCACATTGCAGCGAGGTGATATGATGATGTTTCAAAGACATCTTATGTGTCTCGAAAAGCAAATGGTGAAGTTTTTTTTGTGGAGGGTTTTTTTCTTTTTCGACGAGTTTGCTCTAGACAGGCAGCTTGGCCATGTCACTGTTTCGTGAATATCAATGTTTCTGAAAAGCAAATGTTGTGTTCCAATGTATTTATTGTTCAGCTCACAGGCAACTTGCCCATATCACCCTTGCCGCCCTTGATCCATTCAGGGTCAACCAGGCGCTCGCGCTCCGCGTACAATTGCTTGTAAGCGCCACGAATGGTTCCGTCACTGACGTGCGCAACTTGCGAAATCTCCTTGGCAGACTTGCCGTGGCCCATAAGGAACGAAGCCATGTAGATGCAAGCCGCAACAATAGAAAGAGGAGAACGTCCGGCCAAATCGCCCATGGCGGTAACGCGGTCCGAAAGGGACACAGAAACACTGGTGACCTGGTAAGGAAGGTCGAGAAGGTTGCAGAAACGATTGCAAAGGTCGCTTGGCTTGGTCGAAGTAGTCGCGTTGTAATCGCCAGCAGAGTCGTGAGTTTCGCCATTTTCCAAAGCAGCATTGTGGCGCTCCACATTCTGGGTGGTGAAAAACTTCTCCAGAGCTTTGTAGATGCGACCGATTTCCTTTCGGGTGACCTTGGTCACTGCGAAGATCTCGGTGAAGGTACGAGGAACCTTGCACTGACGGCATGCGATGAAGATGCAACCGGCAATAATGACTTCCTGCGACTTACCCTTGAAGGCCTTCGCGTCGTCGACCATTTTGAAGAGATACTTGGCGGTATCAGCGACAGTCTTTTGGATGTTGAAACCGTCGCAGAGAGCACCGATTTCCTTGTAAGCTGCTAGGAGGGCCTTGTTCGCCTTTTCGCCAGACTGCTTGTTTTGAGCACGGTATAGGTCCCGGGCACGGCCAGAGCCTCCACTTGCGATGGAAGTCTCCAGTTGAGCACCGTTGAGCAGAGGGTTGGATGCGTCTCCGACACGGGAGGGGTCGTCATTATTTTGATCGTCGTTGGAGAAGGTACGCCATTCCGAGTGCAAGTCGATCTCACGGTCTGCGAGCACAAGTCCACAGGAACCGCAAACTGTCTCGTGGGAGTCGGGGAATTCCAGGTTCGGGGGGTCTTCTTTGCATTCGGGGCAGACAAGATGAGCGGACAGGTTTTTCTTCCAAGGAGCCGCCACCTCGGGTTTCGCAAGAGCGGAAGTAGCCATAATTTGAGTTTTCAAGTAACTTTCGTATCGATCGCGGCAACGTCTTGCAAGGACCTTTGGCGCTATACGGGGTAGATTGTATTTTCGATTATAATAGCGAAGGAGAAGTGGCGAATACAGCTTGGCGGCTGTAGTGAGGAAAACGAAAGCGGGCCACCTGCGGAGGATCCCTCAGCAAGGGAAAAGTTCGATGAAAGAAAGTGAGTCGCTCAAGGCCACTGTTTTGTGTCCGTCATGTTAGCTAAGCCCAAAGCAAATTCATTGTCGCCTATGTCGCAACGTTGTCTGATCCTTGACTCCTAACAATGTCATGCTAAGATGTACTCAAACAAAGAAGTTTTCATTACCTTTCACAGGCAAGAGCCCTCAGGATTGGAAGGAGTCACCCCCAGTCGTAATAAACCCTTCACCAGTCTGCGCTTTCTTGGATTGAAAGTGGAACAGAAATCTCGCCTCAGCTTGTCCAGCCGTGTTGAACCAGTCAAGGTCTCCGCAAGAAGTCTCTCACGAAAATGGGGACAGGCTGAGGAGGAGAGAAAGAAGAAGCCAAAGACTGGGGGAGGATGAGAGAGAAACGATGGGATGAGGTGAGGCTTCAATAGGCGGCACCGCACCCGAGAAAGGCGCAGTCCAGATTGGGCTTAGTAATGACATCACGTGATATAATCCATATGTTTTGATTGGTCAAGGAAGTATAGGAAGCTTTTAATGCAAACAAAGATTCTTTGTTCTCGTTTGCTGCTGTAGATAGACCAAACCAAGAAAGGACAATAGGGATTTAGATTCAACCTTCGTAGATAGGGGAGAGCAGACACTGAAGTCAAGAGATTTAGCTATTTCTATACGGGTGATCTCGGGAATTTGCGCAGACAGTCGGTTCAAAGAATTGTGTCCTTTCCTCTCAAATTCGATGAAATTTACTGTCGATACCTGAATCTAAGTCAACCAAGTATCACTTCTCCGATAAGTTCAATCACCCGTCGACTATTTGTTTTGATACTCAGTGTTGAAGCCCTGGAAAGATTCGGGAACAACATGGTCCGGCTGAGTCATCTGCCAAGAAACCTTTCCGAACAGAAGTCGTTTGAACCTCCAACTTCCCGGAAAGACGGATCAGACCTATTCTATTGAGAACCACCCCTCGTTCCTCATCTACACCCTCAGTCAAGATGATGTCTCAGTCTCTCCGGGCTTCGGTGAGTACTGCTTGATTTACAGCTGTCCAATTCGACCCTCGACTAACGCGAAAAGCAGCGCACCCTCTTCTCCCGTGCCTCTCGGGCACAGGTCTCGGTCGCTCGCCGCACCTTCCTGACCTCCGCCGTCCGCCAGGGTACGTACTTTACCTGGGGACTATCTTCAATATGAACCCAGATATCCCTGATATATCCGTCGATCGCATTGTCGCTAACCCCAACCCGCCGCAGCCGACCCCGTCCAGGACCTGTACCTCCGTGAGCTCAAGGCCTACAAGCCCATCCCCATCAAGGCTGGTGACGCCGAAGAGCACGTCCAAAAGTTCACCGCCCCCAAGGCCCCCAAGTCTCCCGAGGAGGCCAACCTCGCCAGCGAATTGTCCGCCTACGAGAGCCAGGAGGTCGAGGTCGAGGGCCAGGCCGCCGCTGGCGAGGCCGCCCCCGTTGAGGAGAGCTGGTTCGAGGAGGAAGAGGAGGCCCCCGCTGCCCACTAAATTCCTCTTTCTTTTTCATTTAGCAAGATCTGGGGAGATATGGGGGGAAGGCCGGCTTTGAATGCCTGCGACGCAACTAATGTGGCCGCCTCTCGAGGTCCTGAAGCTTGTAAATTAGACCACATTTCTGAACGTTGAGACTTCTTTTTTCCTTGATTCTCACCTTTTTTGTTTTTATCCAGGGCAAGACTCAAGCGTAAAGGTTTTCAGTCAGGAAGGACTACGCGGGGTGGCTGATACCAAAGACTTGTCTTCGGTGAGCGCAGCAGACATACCCCAGACTAGGGTCATTGGTGATACTATCTTCGGCTTTTTAGTTGAGTGTGAAGAGCGGGGTTTGTATTATTAAAATGTTGTATTTCAAGAATAATGACATACCACATAAAAATCTAGATGGTTGACTTGCATGATTGGCCGTGTGATGGGGTAGACAGTACAGGCAGCACATAAATGAATCCTCGTAGTCAACCATGATGACAGGAGCTGTGGGTATGTGAACGATGCCTGGCACATCGAGACTAATCCACGGTCTTACCCGTTAGTAGTTGAGTGACCGCTTGACGTGCATAGGCAAGATAAGCCAAACAGCTAGCTTGGTTGGAACATGACATGGGACTGCTGGTTTACAAAATGTGCTTTGCATGGCTTAATCTGGCTTATTGTCATGCTCATGCAATCAGTCATCCTTTGCGGAGTACTTGGTCAGACCTCAGACGTGTGTACAATGTATGGATGTCATATTCCGTAATTATGAGGGAACTACTCCGTACTCCGTATACCAATTATTGGGATCTACTGCTGCAATCGATCCCCCGTAGATCAACATGTAACGAACAGACCAGAAGTTCATAAAAGTAGTGCAATCGATCTGATATATCAAATATCCACATTGCCAGAATTGAGCACCTATCAGATGCAATCATTGTTTTCCCATAGATATTTGATAGCACACCCCTGGAGGGATCAGCCAGGATGGCTGGCAAAGCTAAAGCCAAAGTCTAATAAAATGAAAGAAAATCAACAGACCCAAGAAAAATAAGACTATTCAAGTACTATTGCACCATGATTGCATATTCACTCCACCGTAAGCCAATGTTGTTCAACTTGGGTCCTGATTTTCCTTAGCAGGGGGTGCAATAAGAACATTGTCGCCAAGGGCTTGTGCAATGTGATTCATGGTGTGTCAACAGGGCACTCGTAGCCGGGAACTCTTAGATACATCCAGAAAAATATAAGGTATGGCACCTGGAAATATATAGCCATCTACAAGGCTATATGCTATATCTGTAAGGCGATATACTTTGTAAGCGTCTTATGGCTCAAACCCCCCTGCAGGACAGATTATGACAGATAGTGAAAATAGGTCTATACTTTGGAAAGTGATTTGATCCTGACTTCGTAGATACCGCGTGGAAAGCAATGTTGTTTTATTTTATTTTTATAGTCCAAGTCCATATGAATCATGGGGAAAACCCATACTAATTTGTGGAGGAATGTGAAACAAATAGGGAATTAGGGTTAATGATGCCATCGGATCACAGCGGC